TTGGAAAAGTAATTATTATAAAACACCGAGAAGAAATGATTGGCAAGGAATAGAAAGGAAAAGAAGAAAGGATGAATAATAAGATTAGCAACATAATAAACTATTTAAATTGGACAAAACAAACAGAATGCACAAGCTAGCAGAACTAAGCTACACAGTAGTAAAGAATTCAAAATGCTACTATTGGGAGACCAGCTAGTCAGAGACACTCATTTCTCTTCACACAAATTCTTTTGGAGAAGATAAAGATAAAATCCTTTCACGTTGAATTCGGTCTCTGGACCAGTGGTGGGTTTCTACAGGTTTGCCCCGGTTCAAACGAACTGGTAGTGCTGGCCGCAGGAGGCTCCACCCACCTGCCTGGACATAATCACGGATGCTCTGCGCATGTGTGGAAGGTTCTGTGCATATGCAGAAGCGCTGTGCGCTTGCTCACCGTTCCGAATCGGTAGCGAAGGTAAGTGAAACACACTTCTGCTTTGGACACTACTACGTAGCTATCTTGAGAACATGACAGAACCCGCTCCACTTACTCTAATGGTCTCTTACCCACATAATAATGAAATCTAACAACTTAAGCTTTTCAAGATCAGCCAAGCTGATCAGTTGTTGAGAACAAAACCTTTGCAGCTGCTTTTGTGTCCCCTTTCGCAGTACTCTAAGGAGTCAAATGTTGTTTGAAGCCTCCTAAAGATCCTGGTTCTGCATAGGACTGCTTCACATTGATCCTGTTTACCTTGAAACAGTGAAGACCATCCAAATTTAGTACATACTCCTGTTATTTAGAGGTAGCACTGCATCATTTCCAAGGCTTTCCAAATCTTCCCAGAGCCCCTTGTTTTCATCACTCATTTTGATTTTAAGGTCCTGGTTCTCAGATGCAATGTTTAAATTCTGCCGCATCCCTTTTAAAACCCTTGGATTAACCAAAACAACTCCCACCCCCATCTTACATTAATGATGAACTTCAAATCCAACAGTATAATTTGTGAAGAAACAAAAAATAAAATAAAATAAAAAATAAGGTTTGATGGTCAATGCTGTGGGAATTGCCGGAGTTTAGATCTTCTCAGCTATTCTTCTAGATTGCGGCAAAAAAGAAAATGTCAGAAAGTGTCACATACCAATATAACAAATACAGATCTGATAAATTGCTTGTATGCTTTCCGCAACATTTGGAACTCAGGATCTCTCAAGCAAAATAGCAAAGTTCTACTAATAAGAGCTTCTTTTATATTCAGGAAATCCAAAAACCATAAAATATTAAACGTTTACAAACAAATTGGCTTTAAATTACATTGAGAAAAATGCCTCTGTAAAATATGCAATCATACAGGTAGTCCTCGACTTACAATAGTTCATTTAGTGACCATTTGACATTACAACAGAACTGAAAAAAGTGACTTATGACCGTTTTCCACATTTATGACTGTTGCAGCCTCCCCATGGTCACGTGATCAAAATTCAGACACTTGGCAACTGACTCATATTTATGACCGTTGCAGTGTCCCTGGGTCATGTGTTCACCTTTAGTGACCTTCTGACAAGCAAAGTCAATGGAGAAGCCAGATTCACTTAACAACTGGGTTACTAACTTAACCACTGAAGTGATTCACTTAACAGCTGTGGAAAGAAAAGCTGTAAAATGGGGCAAAATTCATTTAACAAATGTCTCATTTAGCAACAGAAATTGTGCACTCAATTGTGGTCATAATTTGAGAACTTCCAGTACTTAATAATTTTCAGTTTCATGATACATAGGTAGTATTCCTCAGTCACTGAATACGACTGCCACATTTCATTTGTGTTGGCTAGAACTGTCTGGTGTTTTAAATGCATTTTTTTGCAAAGCTATTTGAGTGAGTATCTCAAGAGAGGCTAACCACTCTCATAATATGAGTACTGAAAGTGGCAGAGATAAATAACATGCTTCTCTAATAGGTAATGACCCAGATAATGCTGAAGCACATGAGAAGTGATCAATTATCTTTTGCCTAAATGTCGTATTTTTGTTACCTATTTACATTGTTTGGAGAGGATATTAAGAGCATTATAGGGACATGGTGATAATGTGTAGCATAGTGAGAGGGGTTGAGACTGATTTTTTTTTTCTGCTTTAAGGGATGTTTGCAAATTTGAAAGGTTTATTTTCAGTGATCATAAATGTGACAAATACATGTACCAAGCCTTATTTTGGACAAATACCACCAACCCATCAAAGAAAAAGCCTCCAAAACAGTGGTGGGGTGCTACCGGTTCGCCAGCAGCGGTGACGGGAGGCTCCGCCCACATGCCCGGATGTCATCAAATACACTCTGTGTGCACGCGAGCAAACCGGTAGCAAAGGTAAGTGAAATGCACCCCTGCTCCAAAACCTGCAAATTTTTGGTGATGGATCTTGGAGGGTTCTGAAGTTGCAAAATGGTTCCTTATGGAATCAAATATTGAATAAAGTCCATTTTCTCAATAAATTATCTCTGCTACCTAAACCAAATTGAAGGAGAATATCCAGTTACTACAGGGGTGTCAAACTCATGACGACATATTATCATCACATGACATATTGCAAATTTTTGCTATTTGCTAAACTGTGCGTGGGCATGGCCAGCATGTGATACATCTGGCCCATGGGCCGCAAGTTTGATACCCCTGAGTTACTGGCACTCTTTGGGCCAAATATCTCTGTACTTTAGAACTTGATTTTTAAGCACTGTCCTTTATCGCTGAAGTTTATCTCCTGCAATTCATGCTGATGTCTAAAACTGAACTTTGTCTGCTTTTGGGAGGTGGACTGTGATTGTGCCAAGTATATTCGTATGCAGCATTTATTTTTCTTCATGATTTGGAAAATAATTCTTCCTAATTAGAATGTAAGACCCTACTGTAGATTAGGACAGACAAATTATGTTTAAAATATACTGCAACTCTGCAAGATTATGGGTAATTCATTATTTCACCATCTCTAATATGCATGCAGGAAGCATTTTAAAACATTTACAACACATGTAAATGCAACTACTCACAAGTTAAAAAGCCCACAGGACTGGCAATCAAACATTTAATACTGCAATAAGATAGCATCTTCCACAGCCCACAAGGACAGTCAGGTTGTTTTGTTGCACTCACAAACCCAGTGATCATCTAAACATCACCCCAAAGTAATCAGTGACTTCAATACTCTTGTGATCTGAAAGGATGCAAAGAGTTGGAACAAGGATTGAATGATACTGGGCAATTGGGGTGATGAAGTACCATATTTTTTGGAGTTTAAGACCAGTGGTGGGTTTCAAACTTTTTACTACTGGTTCTGTGGGCATGGCTTGGTGGCATGGCTTGGTGGGCATGGCAGGGGCTACTGTAAAATCTCCATTCTCACCCCATTTCCTCCCGATCAGCTGGGAATTGGGAGGCAGAGAATAGATGGGGGCGGGGTCAGTCAGAATTTTTACTACCGGTTCTCCAAACTACTCAAAATTTCCACTACCGGTTCTCCAGAACTGGTCAGAACCTGCTGAAACCCACCTCTGTATAAAACACACTTTTTTGGGGGTGTGTCTTATACTCCAAATGTAGCTTTTTTGAAGCTTTTTTTCAGCCCTAACGAGGTGCTAGGGAGTGAAGTGATCTCCGTGCTAAGCTTTTTTTCAGTGAAGGATCTTCCCTGCTTTGCCTGCTCCCTCTGACTATCAGCTGCAAAGTTTTTTTTCAGCCCTAAGTGCTAGCGAGTGAAGCCGATCTCCGTGGTTTGCCTACTTTTCTCATTGCTTCTCTCTCCAAAGATCAGTTGTGCTTTAGAAGCTGTTTTTTATCCCCAAGGAGGGGATAAAAACCAGCAAACTAATGTTCTGAAGCTGACCAGGCTAAGGACGCTAGCCAAATGAATACCTGGTAGGTAGATCCCCCCCTCCCTATTTCCCTCCCCAAAAACTAAGCTGTGTCTTATACGCTGAAAAATACGGTAATTCTAAATTTCTTGAACTGCTGGCACACACTGGTATGTGCTATCAACTTTAAGATACAGAGAAGAGATACTTTCGCCCAGGACTTTTAGCAGCTATGTGAAAACTGATGGAAAGATAAAAGAAAATGTTAAGAAGGTCAATTATAAAAAAAAAATTTCAGCTGTTATTTCCAAACTGCAGTACAGAAGCAGCAATTTTTGCTGGAAGGTACTTTGCTGATAATTAAAAGATATCATCAGTTCCAAGAGGATTCCACATAAACATCTGCAGAAGGGAGCTGATGTGTTTCCAGATGATGAAATATGCATTGAAATGCAAATCATATGAATAACATACATACAACCACAAGATGCAAATAGGAAAGCCTGGGAGTTACATCGTGACTTTGAAATGTATGTTTTATCATTTCCATCACATAGCAATTTGTACTGGATACCTACGGATATCAATGTGATTAACAGAGTTAAGAAAGCCATCACACAGGCTAAGCTGAAGATCTAGTGTGACACAGTGAAAAACACTTGTTGATTTTTTCCCCTATTTGAATGCAAGCCAGACATTTGTATGTCTATGAAAGTAACAAATGGAAAGACCTGCTTCATTCTGGTCCATGTTGTGAATATGTTCTGTACCTGCTGTGCAGTTGATGGAGCAGGAAATCAGATGCAGAACAGATTAAAAAATGGCAACAACTGCTGTGTCTCATGCTTAATTAATAGCCTTAATGTGGTGCAGTGAATTTCAGAGATGTAACTTGACAATTTGAAGCCCTTGTACTAAAAGTTGGCTCTTCCTCACTTGAGACTCCAAACAGTGGAGCTGTAAGCAATCTCAGGTTTTCCGAAGGATAGTAGCAATTTATCTGCCTCAATATTAAACTCATGTTATCCTCCTAGAAGAACTTAACGTGATACAAATCAGTAACATTAAGTTGTGAGCCACTCCAGAATCATTTGCTGAGGTGGGAGGCTAACTAACTAACTAACTAACTAACTAACTAACTAACTAACTAACTAACTAAATAAATAAATAAATAAATAAATAAATATCAGATTTATCTTAATTCCAAAGAACAGGTCCACCCCATATAATGTTGTTTCATAAGGTGTGGATTTAGAGCAATTATTTAAGTAACATTGAAAACATGACACAGTTTTTTTGCTGCTCATTTCAGTGGGATATAAATTGTTCTTAATCGCACCTGTTTTACATAATTTACATGGATGTTCCAGTTTATCCCATGGCACTAAGTCACAATGTTAATGTAAACAAGACTCTGTCTTTGCCTTTTCCAAAACACACACACACACACACAAAAACCAGGTTGGATCAAAGAAGGTTGTTGATAATAGGCAAGATATATACACATGCAGTTTGTGCTCGGTATTTAAAGCATGGTTGCTTTCCAGATGTTTGATCCTAAGGCAGAATAGCATTGTCTTATTTCTTAGCTATGTGACTTTGTCTCACATCTATTATAAACTCATGAAAGGCTTTAGGAGTACTCGTCCGCTGATGTATATGGAGAATTGATGTAACTTGACACTGCTGAACTAGCTTTTGAACTCCTGCATGAATATCCATTTGCATTGGCTTCTTGTGCTCCTTTCTTACGCATAGACTTGCTGCTTTCACCATCACCAGATTCAAACACTACCGACATGCTGGATTCCATCCTGGTAACTGTGTATAAACTGCTTTGCCTGGTAGGATGGAATCTCGTTGTCTTAAGCTCCAGTTCATCGTAACTAGATACTTCAATGAAAGGGCACCATTGAAAAGCTCTCTTGAAACCAGCTCGGAACCTGAAAAACACATGCATGTACTTGATATTTGGCATATCTCATAGAAAACATTTTTTAAAGAGAAGAGTTAATTTATTTATTTATTTTGTTCAACTTGTATACCGCCTTTCTCCAAAGACTCAAGGCGGCTTACAATGCATTTAAAAACCATATATAAAACATTAAAAGTTAAACCATTAAAAACAATTAAAACCCATTGACACCATTCATGGCCGGATCTCGCCAGATCGCAACAGTGAGATCAATGGCTCCAGGCCTGCCAGAAGAGCCAGGTCTTCACTGCTTTTCGGAAGGCTAATAGGGTGGGGATGGTCTGGACCTCAGGAGGTAACTGGTTCCAGAGAACTGGGGCAGCCACAGAGAAGGCCCTCCCCCGCGGGCCCGCCAGCCAGCATTGTTTAGCTGACGGGACCCTGAGGAGACCAACTCTGTGGGATCTTACCGGTCACTGGGAGCTATGCGGTAGAAGGCGGTCTCGAAGATACCCTGGCCCTGAGCCATGTAGGGCTTTAAAGGTAATAACCAACACCTTGAATTGTGACCAGAGACCAATAGGGAGCCAGTGCAGCTCATGGAGAATTGGTGAATTGTGGGTGTACCTAGGTGCACCCATGACAGCTCTCGCGGCTGCGTTCTGGACCAATTGTAGTCTCCGAACACTTTTCAAGGGTAGCCCCATGTAGAGCGCGTTGCAAAGTGAGGTGACAAGGGCATGAGTGACTGTGAGGAGAGCCTTCTGATCTAAGTTGGGTCGCAATTGGTGCACCAGGCGAACCTGTGCAAAGGTCCCCCTAGCCACAGCTGTCAGATGTTGCTCTAATCTTAGCTGTGAGTCTAGGAGGACACCCAAATTGTGAGCCCATTCTGAGGGGGACAATTTCTCTCCCCCCCCAGAACTAAGGATGGACAATCAGCATGGTCTTTAGGAGGCAATACCCACAGCCACTGGGTATTGTATGTCATAAAATGTAATCAAATATACATTTCTAGATATCTGAGTTTAGTTCTGGGCTTCACATTTTCAGGAATGTATACAAACTGAAGTATATCCAGCATAAGAAACGGATATGATAGAGATGGTCAATTCTTGTTCTACTAGGAATGGCTTAGAGATATTAAGCCTAGAGAAAAAAAAAATTAAAAGAGGAACATGGTAGAGGCCTTTAAACATCAGAAGAATTGTCCTACAGGAGATGGAAGCAACTTGCTCTTGATTACTCCAGAGGGTAGAATTAGAGCTAATGGATAAAAATTGTAATGAACTTGGCTCAACAAAAGAAGAAACTTTCTAATTGTAACAGATGCATAGAGACTTCTTAATAGCAGGATTGGAAAAAGGACTGGATTCCCATCTGTTGAAACTACTAGAAACCTAATAAAACGGAATGCAAATCCAGCTGCATCTCTGCATCTAATTTCAAAGAGAGTGTCAGACTGTGCTGATAACCCAGCTATCAGCTATTCTTTAATGCACAACGTCATCAGAAGAGTGAAAATAACCATCTGAAAAGTTATGGATTAGATGTTTTAGCAGCCCCTCCTCCCTTTCAGATGGTTGATTTAGAACTGGTTTACATATACAGTATATTAGATGTGATCTAAGAATAATATTGCTCTTAGAGGGTACTTCACAGGTGGTCCTAGTGATTACAGTTGTAAAAGGAAACGTGATTATTAGTGAAGGGGTCTCTAAATAAAATCACAACTGTGCTTATGATCTTACTTAATTTTTTCATTGCTTTACATACCTGTCAAGTTTGTAAAGGTAAGAACTGGTTGCAAAGTTTTTTTAATCACCGTTGTAACTGTAAACAGTTGCTAAACGTGACAGTCAGTAAACAAGGACTACCTGTATTTTCTGTGGATTAAACTCCCTTCATAGAAAAAAAAAAAGGGGGCAAGACTGCTTGGAGCTGTACAGACATGAATTTTCTTATACTTTTGTACATGTGCAGAATCCCAAAATGCCATTGCTCCATCCAAGAAAATAATACAGTTGAAGAAAACATGTTTTTAACTTGTAGCATTACCATCATTATAAAAAATCCATCGCTTATTTCAAAATATGATCAAGCATCCCTGCTGAATTGGGTCCTTCCTGCCCTTTCTGCTAGCAGGGCCCATTTGTGTCCTAAATATCTACCTTGAAATACCACTTCAGAGACTGGATAATTCTGACTACAGTTTGTTTTTTTAAAAAAGAACATAATTTGCAGTTCCCAACTAATATGTGGATCCAGGTGGGTGGTATATAAATGTAATAAACAAATAAATAATACTGTGGATAAGAAGGCAGTTCAAACTGAATGCTTTGTCGAATTTTGCAGTGGTAATTATAAAAATGCCATCTTGAAGAGGAATGTGTAGAAAATGTAATGTTTTACCAGTAATTGTGAAAAAGATACTTTTAAAGGAAAGTATTTAAAATACAACGAGAGCAAATGACAATACAACAAGCTGAGTGAATCAAAATAAAGCTTCATGTGTATAGTTTGAAAGCAAATATTGAGTGTTTGAAGCAGGGGTGAAATCTAAAATTTATTACTACCGGTTCTGTGGGCGTGGCTTGGTGGTGGGTCGGTAATGTGACTGGGTGGGCGTGGCCATTTTTTTTTTACTTTTAAAACCATTTTTTCTACAACTCTTCACTGAAGAGGTTGTAAAAAAATACTTTCAAAAGGCTCTGACAATCCCAGCTGAGTTGCCTGATCGGCAGAGGCTTTTTTTTTACTTTTAAAAGCATTTTTTCGGCCGAAGAGGTTGTAGAAAAAATGCTTTTAAAAGTAAAAAAAAAAAAAAAAAGCCTCTGATGATTGTGCAGCTCAGCTGGGCATGGGGTGGGGGCAGGGATTTTTGCTACCGGTTCTCCGAACCATCCGCCTCCATCGCTACCGGATTGGGCGATCCGGTCCGAACCGGGAGCATTTCACCCCTGGTTTGAAGTTTGTTAAATGAAAGTTATAAGAATGTTTATGGAATGGACTTAGACCTGAACACAACAAACACTGACTCATCCATTTCAATTACCGCTGAGCTACAGTTCAGTTGATCCAACTCATGCCTAATTGAAGCTTGAATGTGCAAAGCAATATTACAAATAACACCGCTGAATACAAAAAATGCAAGGAAATGAAGCTCTCTTTAGATTGCAATATAAATTCATCGTGAATTTTTTTGGATAAATAATAGATGTCTCCATACATTTTCAATTTGGATGGGAAGGCAGAAAGAACAACACAGCAGCATTTCTGTGCCAGATGCAAATCCTGATGGGATTATGTGGGTGTTAAATAAGATTGCTACAGGCAGGTGTTTGAGCAAGATACTGAAAGGCTGTGCTTGTGTTTCTGCTATCATCTAAAAATATTTGCATATATATGGCAGGAATTAACGTCCCCTTTGAAATGTGTATCAGAATGGAATTAGGTTCTGATTTTTCTTTGTGTACCAATTTGCTTATATTGCACAGACAAGTAGCCTATTCCCATCTGTATTTTTGAATTTTGCTGGCTCTCAGGTAGGGTATCATGTAATATTACCAAGAGCCTTGGTGGCGCAGCAGACTAAAGTGCTGTTAAGTAGCACCAGCTGCCTGCAAGTACTGCAAGTTCAAATCTCACCAGGCTCAAGGTTGACTCAGCCTTCCATCCTTTCAAGGTAGGTAAAATGAGGAGCCGGTTTGTGGGGGCAATAAGCTGACTTTGTATAAAAAAGAACACCGCTTGGGGGAGGGGGGCGAAAGCCCTACTAAGCAGGTATATACAAAAGAATGAAGGCTATTGCTTAGGGCATTGTAAGCCGCCCTGAGTCTCCGGAGAAGGATGGCATATAAATTGAACCAATAAGTAAATAAATAAATAAAAAAATTAGACAGATTCTCTCAGACAGCATCTTCTACTTAAAACGTCTGACCAAAAGAATCACAAGATTGATGAGAGGTCTTATATCGCTTTAATATGTGAATACTTTTCCATTTATATCTTATTATATATCACATATAAATTTAATGCCATTGTTTTTATGCGTTGTAAGCATTTGCTATTTCATGTAAGCGCTCAGAGAGTTACAGGTTCAACTAGCATTTTTTAAAATAATCAGATAACATTGACTGTATACAAGATAGAGATAATGCCTTGTTCCTACCATGTTTTTTGGTATTGATTTTGATATACCATGTTTGTGCTAGTAAATAAATCTTCTCGAATCTACTGCATGTTGGTTCAAGTTTCATTTATGAAATTCAATTTGGTTTAAACATTATTTCAAAGGAGAGAATTTTAAGTACGTTTCCATAGGTCACATTGCAGTTTCTTAGTTACAAGAGTTTAGAGAAAAGTAAAATCAGCCTTTCCAACTTTGCAGCATCTTACTTTTTTCTCGCGAGAAGTTGGAAGGTCTGATTTTACTATATATTTTTTTTAGCCCCACCAACTTTTTGGGTTTCCCTACACATTTCTTTCATTTGCAATCCAGCTTTTCCATTTCTCCAGTGAAAGAAGAGTATCTTGAGCTGCGGGGAGAAAAGCAGCTGGAAAGCAGGTTTGTTTGGAAACCCCCTCTTGCAATTTTTAAGGAGTGCCAATAATTAGGGTTGCCAAGTGTCCACTATTTGAGTGGACATAATTTTTCACATTATGTTCACTATTTTTTTTCACAAAATAGTGGACTTTTTTTTTATTCAAAAGCTTTATGATGAAATGGTACGTAATCTAAAGCTGTACAGTCTAAGAGAATAAGGATAGGAGAATCGCGTTTTATCTTTTTTTTTCATAAGTTAGAATAAGACAAAGATAGAATATCCATTGAACTCGATTCTCCAAAAAAATTAATGATGAAATTAAAATAAAAAATAATTAAAATAAATTAAAAAATTATGTACAGTTCACATTTTTAAAATGTATTGTAGCTTGTGTCGACTGACCTAAAATGGCGTGCTAAAATGTTTGTAAGAAAATATATAATTTAATTGTAAATTTTGTAAAAATTTTTTTACTACTTAACCCCCCCCCCCCCGCTTGTCCGCTATTTTTTGGAAGCAGACCTGGCAACCCTAATTGGCAAGCAAGGGAAGCAGGGGGGATGGTGCGCCAGCGCCAAGCTTTCCAGTTCCGTGGTGGTACAATTTGTTAAATCCAGACAGGTTCGGCATTCCAGCAAGCAGCTGGGGAGGGCCGCACACGCTTGTGAGAAAGTCTGTGGCTCAGCAGGGAAGGTGAGAGGCCAGCCCAGTGCTTCTCCATTTGCCTGGACAAGGGCTCTGGCACCCAAAGGAGCATGGGCAGCTCAGGGGTGAGCTGCTGGGGGGTTTGTAGGGGTTCAGGAGAACCTCTAGCTAAGATTCTCTGCAGTTCAGAGAAAGAGAACTCCCAAATCCATGTTAGGAAATGGTCGTTGCCTAACTAGTTGGCCAGGCAATATATAATCCAACACTGTATGTTTGTACTGTGTAAATGTATTATCTTGCTTTAAGAACATTGCTGAGTCATTCTGCACCCTGATTGGATAAGCTCTGTAGCCAATGTATTTAAGGAGAGCTTAAGTGTGGTTAAGAAGAGCACTACACCATATTTTTACCTGCTACTATGCTGTAACTATTTTTGATCTCCCTAAATGGTCATTGTTTGATCATGGGTTATTTATTAATGTTTCCTGATATTTATTGAACTGTTTTTATATTGTTCCTGAATGTTCCTTGAATTTTTCTACAAACTGGTAAGAAGATTTTATATCCCTGGATTGATCTTGTATTGCACTTTATATGGCTAAGACTTGAATTGTTAAATGACTATGATTTCGCTTTACCCTCAAAATAAAGTAATATAAAACCAATTTGTCTGCATGTTATTCACAATTACTCTCAAAACCGTTTCCGTGTGTAAAAACTTCTGATGGTCCTCTGTTTTATGAACCATGACTCTGGTGGTGACACAACAATATCCTTATCAATCCCATTCCTGGTTCGTCCCGCCCCGCCGCGCCCCACCCCTCCCAGGAGTCCCCATGTGGCCCGGTTTGGATGCAGGTAAGTGCAGGGCATGTGTGTAGACTCGAGGAAGGTGAAAAACGGGCCTACTGGAAGTTTGGAAGTTCTAGAGGGCCTCCGGAGCCCGGGGAGGGCAAAAATTCTCCCCCCGTCATGATGCAGGAGGTTGATTAGGCCACACCCACCATGGCCACGCCCACCCAGCAACCGGGCAGAGAAACCCTTGCTAAAATTTTTGAACCCCACCCCTGCATAGCACCAAAGGAGCATGTTGCAGCATCTCTGCCATCGCTCGTAAGTGTGAACGACTGCTGTGATGCTGCAAAATACGTTACTTTGGGACCCGGTTGTAAGTACTTTTGGCAGAGATTTGTAACTTCGAATGATTACTAAGTGAACTGTCGTAACCCAAGGATTACCTGTGACAAAAAGGATACAGGAAAGAAATGAATATAGATTGAAGAATGTCAACAGAAGTGTATATTTCTAAACAACTGCTCTGAGCATTTGGGTAAATAAACTTTTTTTTTTATAATGAAGGAGATCTATAGTACCCTTTTTCCTTCTCTCTTGATTTCCAGGATGAACAATGAATATATGAAAATCATTTAATATCGAAGAATGAAAAAAGAAATGTCCAGGCTTCCCAACTCTAGAGAGATTATTCTTAAATTACAACCTTACCTTTTATTGAGACAGCAGTAGATAATGGGATTATACATAGTAGAACTCATAGCGAGCCAAAATGTTGCTAGGTAGATCTGCTGAATGTATTTCCACCGATTCCAATTTTCATAGATTCCAGTAAGAATGAAGTAAATGTGATATGGCAACCAGCAGATGGCAAATGTCAATACAACTACAATCATCATTTTTACAACCTGGAAGCAAACAGATGGGGAAAAAAAAAAAAAGGATTTTCCTATTTTTTTACAACTCTGCAGTCTGTAAATGCCTTTTAATATTATCAACACTAGACACTAGGCTGCTATGGCTGGAATATTAAATTTATATAGATATTTAATAATTTGGAAAAACAAAACAGAGTGATATAAAAGGAATTAATTTATTTTGACATTTTCCCCTTTGCTTTGCACAGATAACAGAGAATATTTTGATATGGATTTGAGCCTTCTGCACTTTACTTATGGCCTGAATGATTAAGTCTGACATATGGGTAGATAGCTGTTGTGCTTTACAGGATAGCTGAATCAAATAACCTTTGGTATAAAGTGAATAAATAAAATAGCAGCTTAACATGTGGCACCACAGATGACATCTCTTGGGAATATTCAGATAGATGGGAAATTCCAATAACGGAAATAATGTTGCTTAGAATTGAACTATGGAATTCTTGGTGTTCTCTGAGATTGGTTGTTTGTTTGCAGACATTTCATTATCCAGCTAGGTTACATCATAAGTGTGGATGAGTATGGGGTTTCCTCCTTGTTTATATGCAGTAGCTTGCCCTGCCAGTTTTAGTGGGGTTGTGGTTTTTTTCTTGGTAATTCCTTGATTAGAATATTGTTTTCTGCTTGATTGTTTGTCTGGTGCTAATCTTTGCTTATCTGAGTGTTGGCTGCTGGAAAGGATGAGTTCCAATCTTTCTGTTTCTTAGCTTTTTATTGTGTCTTTTAAATGGTAAATAAATATGCTTTATCTCCATGTGTCTACTGATGTCTGATTTGTCAGAAAGCCAAATTTCCAAAGATTCCCTGGTGTTTTTGGATTTAGCTTTGTCTAGGGTCAGTCTCCAAAAATTGTACACAACTGAACAGATGAAGAAGAAGAAAAAGGATGCTAATAGTTTCCCAGTTGAAACTGTGGCTGCTCATATATTGTGAGATTAAATATTTTTTATTGTGTTTTAGGACTGCAAGTTGATGCTTATGGATATGTTCATGGATGTTTTCTGTCTATATAGTGGTTGTTACAGTCCTTCCACTGTATATTGTAGACGACTCCTGGTTTGTTTGTTTTTTAATTTGGGCTACTAGTTTTTTTCCGTTTGCTTAGGATGTTTTGGAAGGTGTTAGTTTGTGTGCTAGAGTGATATCATGTGGTTGTAATTGTTGGTTGTTTCTCAAATGTTTTTGATGTATCATTTTCATAGTTTGTGTTGGTTGTGCCATAAAAAATATAATCCCTAAAATAATTTTCTCACAATTGAAAAACAAAGACAAGGGCTCCAGTCCTAGCCCCATCCACTCAGCTATCAAAAGATTGCACATCTCTGGAGCAAAACACTTAGTAATCAGTGTGTAATCTTTGAAAGAAGCCCTTTTCTCTCTCTGGCATGTTTCTTTGGTTGATACCTGATGGACTTGCGGCTTCTTTGCTATACTACACAATACTAAAATTGATTTTTGCTCCCATCTAGTTTCTCCATTTGTGTTATCTATCAGTTCCATACAGAACTGTAGGATGAAAGGTTTCCATAACTCTAGTTTTGTATCTGTTTTTTCTCTGACAGGTATCCAGACTGCTTTGCACCACTGCAGAATAAGCCATTTGCTCCTATCACACTTGTTTTGTGCATTCATTGCAATCATTTTCACTACATTCATTTTTAAGATGTAGTTGGAGCCCAACAAACCTGAAGAGCCCTGAGTTGGGAGGGAAAGGTTACATTATATGTGTGTTTTGCATTCTGTTGCACTTCATTGGCAATGCCAGTACTTATTTATTTAGTATAAATAAATAAATATTTATTTATTCATTTATATTTAGAGACTGCTCCATTACAACCATCACAAGGCATCTTACATTATAAAATTAAGTAAAAATATAGAGAGAAAAATCATAAAAATTTGAAATGTTTTCCAAAATGCCTCTAAGAAAAATAGACAGAGGAAACCCTATTTCCAGAACTGGCAGCTAGACCAAGTTTTCAGTGATTTTCAGAATGCCATCAAGATGGGAATTGTACAGATTTTTTGGGGGAGGGAGAGGAGGGGAGGCTGTCATATTCCAGTAGGCAGGAATCTCAATAAAGAAGGCATACTTTCTACATCCTAACTGAGGACCTACTGAAGAGGCCTGGAGATAATTGAAGAGACTTGGAGGTATCCATTCTTCTAGCTCTTACTGGGTGGGAATGTACAATTGAAGAGAGATGGCTCCCAGATACCCAGGGCTAATTCTATAAAGGGCTTCATATGTTATAACTAGCATTTTGAATAGTAGCTAGAAGTCAACAAGCATAGCTTGTAAACAAGTGTAGATTGCAAGGCATGGATAACAAATGGGCATAATGTGATCCACTTGTTATTTCCTAATCTGCTATGTTCTGGATCACCTGTAGCTCTGATTGGTCTTCAATGGCATTATGGATGTCTTGTAGTAGCCGAGTTCTGAGATGAGTAGCTTAAGTTTACAGAAGGATTATGTTCTAGGAATGGGTGTAACTGGTACATGAGATGGATCTTGTAAAAGCCCTCCTGGCGAGAGCCGCTGTCTACTTTGAGCTGTGAGTTCAGGATAACCCTCTAGTTGCATATCAATTTCAAATTGGGATGTACAGTCCCATCCAAGACCAAAGATTAAAAATCCCCAGATCTAGGACCCCAAATAACTCCAGATACTTGATCTTGGCACAATTGACCCTGAGCTTGTTTCTCCCTATCCAAATCCAAATAGCCTTCAAATATTGGTTCCCAACATTGAAAAAGCATAACTTGGACAGCCTGGGATGAAGAAGTATACTAGGTGTCGTGGTGTACTGATATAGTAGATCCTAAACCAATGGATGACTCAGCCATTGTTTTTATCTAAATGTTAAATGGGAGAGTAGAGGGCATTGAGCTCCAAGGCAGTCCATTAGTCCAACCTCTATCCACATCAACATTTACTGGAACTGGCCCCAGAAGAAGGAAAACCACTGTAAGAGAGTGCCATTTCTGTCAAAACTTAACAGCCCTCTGTCAACAGATGGGGAGGATTCAGTGGTGGGATTTAGCCAGTTCACACCACTTTGGGAGAACCGGTTGTTAACTTTGTGAGCTGTTTGGCAAACTGGTTGTTGAAAGAAATCATTAGGGCAGAGAACCGGTTGTTAAATTACTTGAATCCCACCACTGGGAGAACTACAACATCATCTATCTCATCTATCTATTTCAATAGTTCCAAGAAGGCTCCACACCCATTTGCACCGCTTAGGTGACCCTGATGACACAGATAAACCTCCAGGTGACCCTAAGGACGCACTAAAAGAATGCAAATGACCAGCTATCTGTAAGGAGTATAAATCTTTCCATTCTCCACTATCCAGTCAGAGCTGAAGAAGCTTTTTGGATGAGAAGCAAAACATCTTCAAAGAAAAACCAGAAACTCCAATTGCCTCTTGAAAAAAGCACCTTTGGGACAACCCCAACGCTATTTCCAACAATGCCCTTGAAGTGATGTCCCAGTGCCTGGAGGCTGTGCGGATCTGGATGGGGAGGAACAGGCTCAGGCTCAACCCTTCCAAGACTGAGTGGCTGTGGCTCCTGGCATCCCGATATAGTCAGTTGACTCCATCACTGACTATTGGGGGCAAGTCATTGGCCCCCACAGAGAGGGCTCGCAATCTGGGAGTCCTCCTGGATAGGCAGCTGTCCTTGGAGGAACATCTGACGGCTGTAACCAGGGGGACCTTTTGTCAGGTTCGCCTGATCCGCCAGTTGCGGCCCTTTCTTGATCGGGATTCCCTGTGCACAGTCACTCATGCCCTCGTCACCTCTCGCCTTGACTACTGCAACGCTCTCTACATGGGGCTCCCCTTGAGGAGCACCCGGAGGCTCCAACTGGTCCAGAATGCAGCAGCGCGGGTAGTGACGGGAGCAGCCTGGCGCTCCCATGTAACACCGCTCCTGCGCGAGCTGCACTGGCTCCCAGTGGTCTTCCGGGTGCGCTTCAAGGTGTTGGTTATCACCTTTAAAGCGCTCCATGGCATAGGGCCTAGCTATCTTCGAGACCGCCTGCTGCCACCGACGATCTCCCATCGACCCGTGCGCTCCCACAGAGAGGGCCTCCTCGGGGTGCCATCAGCCAAACAGTGCAGGCTGGTGACCCCCAGGGGGAGGGCCTTCTCTGTGGGGGCACCTACCCTCTGGAATCAGCTGCCCCCAGAGATAAGGAGAATCCAAGACCTCGGTGCCTTCCGCCGTGCCCTTAAAACCTTCCTTTTCCAGCAAGCCGGGCTGGCCTAATTTTTTAAGTGTTTTTAAGTGTTTTGTTTATTGTTTTTAATTAATGGGGCCAAATTTATATATGTATATTTTAACTGTATTTTAATATTTGTATTTGATGTTTTTACTTGGCTGTTCACCACCCTGAGTCCTCAGGGAGAAGGGCGGCATACAAATTCAAAATAAAATAAAAATAAAATAAACCATGACCTGGATGACTGAGAATCTCCATAGATATTGAGCACAAGCATAGATGCACCATTCCTACCTGTATTCAAAATGATAATCAAAGACTGATCAATGCCATTTTGACACTACATTCTGACCTAAAGCCCAACTGAAGCGTGTCCAAATCATAATATATAAGTAACTTGTATAAATAATGTATCATCTATTCTTAAAAGAAGCCTTTAAACCTCTACATTGATTACTATTGTTTAAAATATTCAAAATTAGAGAAATAATATCAATATATATAATATATATATATATCTTTTATATACATACATACATACATACATACATACATACATACACACACACACCTGTGGAACAACTTAGCTTACGTAGGTGGAACCTGGCTAGAAAGAATATGCACATAAAAGCCTACGAAAAAGAAAAAACATATAATATATATATATATATGTCTTTTTCTTTTTCGTAGGCTTTTATGTGCATATTCTTTCTAGCCAGGTTCCACCTACGTAAGCTAT